ATACATTTGGCAGGAATAAGCCCAAATTAACCAATAGCAGCTGCCTTGCACTCAAGAGATGTGGCAAAAGTGACAAATGATAACATGAACCATAAAACTGAAGAATGAAAATAACAGATGGTCGCTTTGCCTGACTTAGAAACCTAAAAAACGTTTATTCTCACTTTGGGGTAGTCTAGACTCTCCACCATTTCTTCAAGCACAGTTAGATGTACATTTGCAGGAAGAGATTACATGTAAACAAAACTTTATATTGTTATCAGTTTCGTATGTCTTTCCAGTTACGTGATCCTTAAGGGATGCAAAACCACACAATAATAAGACTGGAAAACACCAGATGAAAAAAATGTTTGTGGTAATATGCCATTTATATAAAGGTATTATGTTTCTATGTTGGAGAAAAATACATAGAGTATTAGCAAAAAGTTTGAGCCCATTTCTGGTTTTGGATTTTTTTTTATTCTTTTCAGTTGGGTAAAATAAATATTTGCAATTTTTCTTCAAAGTCTTTAAAACTCACTGGTTATGATTTAAATAGCTGGTCTGTGACTATTATGCAAAGACAGGTTTTACCATGACAATTATACTTAGGTAATTCTGACAGTTTTCTTTGTGTTGCTAAGGAATTCTGTAAACAAACCAAATAAAACCACAGAGTACTTCAATAGCAGTGACAAAATTTTGTAGCCACAATACTGGGAATATGGTCTAATTATTCTATAAACACACTTTGATTTGTTTACTTCAGTGTCAAATTAACTTCAAATATGTACCAACAGTCACTGATTTGATACGGTATACAATGCTGCCAGTGACTGCTTTCATTGTGGTGTGTGTAAATCTATCTCTTTTTAAAATGAGTTCATTTCTGAAAGCGTCTCTGCTGTACATTGTGAATACTAAACAGGGAAACACATATGCAGCTTATTTAAAAGAAAATTATTTCCAATTAATTTTGCTCTGATCCAGCATATTTTGGCTTCATTTTATTTTTCCTTTTGAACAGTAGAAGGAATATTTTTTAGAAAGATTAATAAGTCATGGCGTGGAGAAACAAATTATAATCTTATTGGGGGAAAATGAGCTGAACTAACCTCATCTCTATCCATGCAGTTGCCCTGAACAAGTAGATTGTGCTGCTTTAAAAGAAAGACAGAACTTTGACTGTTATAACCAATCTATAAAACTGGGAGAAGATCAAGTTTTTTTGAGCAGTTGCAAAGGAGACAGATCCTGAAGAGATGCACTAAAAAGCAAATTATTGCACTGTGGTTTTCATCTTTTTACAGTATCTACCTAAACTATACTCCAAAGAAAACATCAATAGCTTACAATAATACTCTGATGTGGGATTTTTTGTCCTTTTTAGGGAGTTCTTTTCAGTGGTTGCTGCATACCATGACTGTCAGTGGTGGCAAGTAACAAATTCAGTAATGGCAGCTGCTACTCTGCACGAATGACTTTGTGCACACCACATCTTAGAAAACCCTGGCTTGTATCATAAAGTGCCTTTCACAGAGAAGGATCTCCAAATGCTCTGCACCATATAGAGAGGTCAGAAACCCTCCCACTAAAACAAGGCCAGCTCAGGAGAGAATGAGGCTGCCAAATGTCATCTGTGAAAGTAAATAAGATAATTAAGCAGAAAAAAGAAAGCTTGTTAGTCCCACATTCTGCCCATGTCAGAATGTAAATGGGCAGCTGTTTCTGTCCATTTACCCAAGTAGTATGGGAGGTGTGACATTATCCAGTGGACCAATACTGCTGAGGTTGCTCCAGCCCTCTGGTCCTTACATAAACACTTGCTGAGCTGTCTTGCTCGTGTTCTGCCATGAAACACTTAAGGACCTCACAGAGACCCCAGTGGCTGGGTGTTGTGGGAAGGATTAGGTCCCAGGGTGCTAACATGTGTGCAGTATAATCATCAAGACTCCACAGCGGGCTCCAGAGTTCCCAGCAACGCATCTCAAATGGCACTGAGCAAGGAAACAAGGACTTATGCCTTTTAAAGGACTAAAATCACCAGGAAGAAAATACTGGATTTACTGTCATTAAGCTGCAACAATCTAGGGTCTTGTGGAGAACTTGGAGTTTTAATACTTGTGAAGTAGAAATTGTGGAAATTAACAATGAAGTTGTGGAAATTAGAGGTTATTATTACAAAAACTCTATTTAAGGGATAATGTTCTTGGCAGAGAAATATACAAGGCAATAAATTGCCTTAGTAGGTGATTATATTCCCAAAGCAAAAACTGCAGTAATGGCTGAATAAGTAACCACAAACACCATTATACAAAAAGGGAAAGAATAAAAGCCACAACACTGTGCCTTCTAAAAATATTTAGAAGCATTATTTCCATCCATTACTAGTGCATTTAGGAAGGAGTATTGTGTTTCACTGTTCTTAGTCTTTCCATATTTACCTGAGTAGAACAGATAAAGTCAAAAGGAGTCTAAAGCTCATATGTGGGCCTTGGACACTTGACCCATCTGATGTGCATTGGTAAGGATATTACAGTTTGTAGATCAAGTTATGGGCAGGGAAACATTTTCAGCTTCTCCACAAGCACAAGCATATAATAAGAAATCAAGGGGAAAGGACCATCTTCCCAGAAATCTGTGGTCCAACCCTCTGCAGGTGCTTCCACTTGTGCAAATAATCCCACTAGGACTAAGCCCTAAGTCAGCCCCTCAGGCTGACTGTGGTGGGGAGAGCAAATCCTTCCTTCTCATCCTTAGATCTCATTTCTCAAAAAAAAACCCTCCTTCCTCCCATTTATTCAGGGTGAATTTCATGCAAGAGAAATAACTCTCCCAGCACACAGCCCACATGGTCAGCTGAAGCAAAGCAAACTAAGTAAATGCAGCAAGAGCTGTATCTTCATCTTTCCTGTACTTCATACTCTGCAGCTCAGGGCTCTGATGGCTCCTCAGCTATTCCAAGACTGCTAAGAAGAATTCACTTTTCTCCCTCATTATGTACGGCTGAACATTTGTAACATTTTCACCAGCCATGAGCCTCGCTGCCATTATTCCTGCCACTGTCACATCACTATAAACCTGCTTTATGTGTAGGGAGGACACACTAAGCCCAGGCTACACTTCAACTCACTTGGAAATTGGGAGAGGGATGCAACACACCATCGCTATGTGCAAATTCACAAGAGAATTCTTCTTCTCCTACAATTTGCACAGACTGCCAGTAGGTTTCCACGAGGGGGAGGTGTAATGGAGCTGGTTTTGCCCTATAAATCCCTGCTTAGCTTGCAGGCTGTCTACCTGGCAGTCTATCTACCTACACTGTTCCCAGAAAAAGGGGAGGGAAGGGATGTGCTGGAGGCTCTGCCAAGACCAGCTCCACGTTCAGGAAGACAAAGTTCTCTGGCCAACTTCTACAGCCAGTACAGGGATACTGATTTCTCCAACGAAAAGATGAAAACTGTTATGTTCTGCAGTCAGGTGCCTGGAATGAGGATTTATCCCTGTTTCCAGAGTTTGGGTTCCCTGCAGTAGGGTTGTCCTCTGTCAACATGCATCTGAAAACAGTGGCAAAGTTGTGTGCATGAAAATTCCCAGGCTCCACCTCCACCATTAACTTCTCTCTAGCTGACCTCACAATTTCAGGGCAATACTCCAAAGTATCTTCTGATATGGTTTTATGGATGCAAAAAAATGCGAAGGACAGATGTGCTGGGGGTCTGGAACATTTTACCTCGGCTGGCTTGGCTGAGGGGAGAACTGAAAGATCTGTTAGAAAGAAGTCTTCAGACTCAGCCTATCAAGGAGATGCAGAGCTGATCCCCAGCTTCAGTAAGTGGCAGCTGCAACACTTCCTGCAGGAACAGCAGAAATACACTGCACCAGGTGATGTGGCCACCTGTACCAAGTAACACAGGATTTGAGAGCTTAGACTTTCCTCTTCATACTCTTTCAAATTTGTCGGGTTTGCAGGTGATCTGAAATGTGTGTTAGAGTGCAATTTAGCTAGAGTGCAGTGAATTTTAAAGAGCCTGGCTCTTCAGATTTCTATTGACTCTGCTGTAAACATTCTGGTACTTGTTTGAATGTTTCCAGGACTGGGGCATCTATGACCTGCTTTGGCAACCTGCTTCAGTGTTTCACTAGCCTCATCATAAAAAATTTCTTCCTTGTATCCAGTCTAAATCTATCCTTTTTAAAATCACTACTGCTTGTCCTATCATAACAGAGCCTACTGAGAAATGTGTCTCCATCTTTCTCATAAGCCCCCCTTTAAGTATTGAAAGGATATAATAAGGTGTCCACAGAGCCTTCTCTTCCCAGGGTGAACAGCCCCAAATTTCTCATCCTGTCCTCAATGGAGATGTGTCCAGTCCTTTGATTAACAGAGGCACTGATCTGCACTCCTGACTTCTGCAAACGAGCCCATCAAAAGCCCAATTTTTCATCTTTTATTTATGTGGCTGATTTCTTATTTCTCAAGGTGAAACAGAAACAACTCTGTCCTTCCCTTAGCAGACCAGAAGGCTTCGTTGTTCCTAGGCTCCCCACAGTAACTGTTCTACAAGAACCACAGGCTCTGCTAGTTTGGGCTTTATAAATTCTAGTAGCACCTTCAAAACCTCTACCCCAAAACAACAAAACTATTGCTGCCAAAGTAAATTGAAAGTTTGTTATTTGTTCCTCTAGGAGCCTTTCTGAGAAGTCTGGTTGATTTTCAAGTATGATTTGCTAACCCAATAAACTGGTCATTGGTTGACAAACTCATCTGGCTTTACCTTTAGAGGTTTAGGGACAATGTATATGATTCCTTTTGCAGGCAGAGTTCTAACACTGGGACAAAACATCCGGATCATTTTCAGGTCTCGCAGCTGCTTGCAAAGCTTTGGACACAACAGCAGCAGTAGTAAGTGAGCAACAGTCACTACAAGGGCTGGAGTTGGTCCCTTGTCAATAAGGATGCATTTTCACCTGTGAATGGGTTTCCAGGCCTTAAAATCTGAATCAGATGTGCCTCTGTTACCTGGGAACTGGAGAGAAGCAAAGCCAGATCTAGAGTAAGGCTGTTTGGAGGAAGATCAACAGAGGTACCTGCAAGTGATGTGTTTAGAATGGTTTTTAAATAAATTTATATTTTTTTACTTATCATAAAAACCTACAAAAATAAATATGCACTTTTGAGTGAGTCTAATTTAAGACATTTTTGTCTTTTTAAATATCTACCCAAGGATAATTGTAACTTTTTTTTCCAAAGCTATGGACCTACAAGTGTCAGACAAGTACCAGCAGCAGTGACAGCTATCCTGCCAGGATTGTGTGCAAGAACAAAAGGCTGGGAATTTCTAGCACATGCATTTGGTATGTCAGACACTGCCTGGAGTGCTGTAAACCCTCAGTGTAGGCTTTGAATTTGTGTGTGTTGGCCATTAGTAAAGACATTTCTGGTGAACTCCTCTGCTCACAGGGGCCTTGTGTCACTCATGTCCCCATGCAGGCTGACCAAACTGGCTTTATGCATATGCTGCATCAGGTTATATCTCTGCTGAAAGTCATGCCAAGGAAAAATAAATAAGTAGGTATCACAATTCTTTCTGTTCTTTTATCCTTAGACCAGATACACTTGGGACACAGAAAATAGGCAAAAAAGAAAAAAAGAGAGTCAAATCCTGTTTAAAACATTAGCCCCCTTACAATGATAATGAAGCTTCTGTGTCTTTCTCCTCATTTCACTCTGATGTCTTCCACTTTAAAGAGCACATTCCATTGCTATCAATGCACTAGACAGAAGCACACCTTCCAAATCAGCTGATGCCAGCTGATGGTGCAGATAAAAGACCTAAAAAACACCCAGTATGTTAAATTGCACTGGGAGTTGTGGGGAGAATTGCTGCAGATTATTGTCCTGAGATTCAGAAAGGGAAAAAACCACCACCACAAGTAACAGGTAAGGATTTCTATTTCTGCACCTTCAGTAGAGCAATTTGTAGCTGACAGGATCTGACAAGCATCCCACTAGAAAAAATTACTTCCACAGATGAGCTTCAAACCCATGGGATCATCAAGGCAGGGGATGAGGAGAAGTGTGTGGGGGTAGGGGGACAGCAGGAAGTTCTCTGCTCATTGAAGTGCAGTCAGATACAATAAATATCAGCAACTGGGCATTGACAAATCATCGTACCAAAGTCTGCAGCTAAAATGAAACCAGGAATAATGCTCATAATTCAGCATATTCTTAATTCCTTGAAGAGCACTGTGGACTGTCCTGTTCCTGTCCTGTTGCTGTCCTGTCCTGTCCTGCTGATGTGCTCTGGGCATACATCAGTGCTACCAGATCCTTCCATCTGTGCAAATGGAGATCTGGTGTCAAACTTATTCCTGATCTCCACCTAACAGGAGGGAAAAAATCTTTCTGAAATCAAGAATATCCTGACTCAGTTCTGGACAGATGACTTCCTAGAATTCCCCTGAGACCTTCTTCTCTGCCTGCTCCTGTGTGTGAACCAAATCTTGGGAGGGTGTGGTGTTCATAGCCAAGGGCTAGGAAAACAGCCATTCAGTAGGAAGGAAGGCAAAAAACATAAGGGATAATTGAGAAAATATGGTGGGTATATGGTAATGAAAGATCCCCATTTTGATGTCTGATATAAGGCTTACAAAACTATCCATAAGACTACAAAACTATCCCAAAATTTTAAGGAGCCACTTGCACCATCTCGGATCACAGCAGGAAACATGGCAGGAGACAGCTTTCCACGTTGGCTCAGGAGTAATTCTTTAGGTGTAGAGCATTTGTGGGATGAGCTCTCCCCGAGAAGACACTGAGATACAAATCCAAGCCCAAAGAACAGAAGAAACAAAACCTAATCTTGCCAGAAAATCCTGCTATATGACGTTGCTAGCAGAGGCTGAGGACAGCAAGTTGACCTTCTGCGTAACCTACGTCCGTGCTCAAGCTCAATGGATCACTCAATCACTGCCACTCTCTCACTCACTACTAAATCTCACTACAACCAGTTCAACAGCTCACTACCAAAACAATGCATAGCACATCCCAAGTCAAATACCCTCAAACTACTGCAGAGAGGGACAGCAGCAAAGAAAAAAGATGTTCGTTAATTCCAGTGTCCTAAGCTCATGGGGAACCCATCTTTCTCCTATTCCCTCCATTTCTGCCTGCATATGATGCATGAACTCAGCCTTTCAGAACAGAGACTGAAGAAAAGGTCTTCTGGTACTGTCTCCGTGAGAGGTTTGGTGGGAAATAAAATATCAAGTATAACAGCAGAGAAGGGCTGGGGGGAAATGGGCATAAGCAAAACAGGGGGTAAAGACCAGGGAGAAAATGAACAGAAGAATCTTTCTGTCCTTCAGATACAAGGAAGGAGCAGCTCAGTTTCAATGTTCTTCTACAATAATGTTTACATAGATACCTTCAAGGCAGATTTGGAAATATCAAAAAGGTAGCTCAGGGGTGTGGTGCCTTGTTTCAATCAGTGCCTTAATAGCCAGTGGATGTGTAAGATAGGAGTTGGCTCCACTGCCTACACTAGAGACATTGATGGTTTTGCAACACAGTGAAACACGAACAGAGGTGAATTGGAAGACAGAAATGAAAACTGGGGTCAGAAAATCAAATGGCCTCTGTACCTGGAAGGATGAAGGGTGCATTGAACCCAGCCAAAATCCTGGAGTCACCACAAGAGCCCACACTCGAAAGAGGATGCTTTGCTGGTGAAATTCTCTCAGTTGAGTCTACCTGCCGACTCCACAAATGCATTAATAAAAGCAGACCGAGACAATTTAATAAGCTCACTCCTGCTGCCAATTCCTTTTCCTCCATTAAAAGAAATAACCCATCCCTCTGGTTCCAGTCTGCTAACCAGCTGGCATAAAGCCCAAGTGGGGCTCGGCTCTCCGGCCCTGAAAGGCTAGAGGTGAAATTCAGTCCTTGCTTAATACCAACAGTGTAAAGCCAATTTAAAAGTCTTTAAAAATCTATCTTTGATCGAAAAGAAGATGTTGTTTAATTGAAAAGTCTCCTTTTCTGGAACAGATGGATTTTCCTCAAGCTGCAGGCACTTCAAAAGGATTCCCAGTAATGTCAGAGCTTCTTAGGTTTAAACTGTCAGCATCGGAAGGGCTGCTAAGGGCTTTCGTCTCCTGCCGGCTCCTAAAGACCTCTAGTATATAAAGATCCATTTTAAGTAATATAAATGCTTTAAAAATACACTAGGAAGGGAAAACACTAAGAAAAAAAATCCATCCAAATAAAAAGTGATCATGGTTTCTACTAGGGACTAATTTCCACAGTAGTTAGGTATTTTTGTCATATTAATACTTTTGTTTCTTGTTCCTTCATTTGCATAATGTAAACAGTAATGAGGTACCCATTGCTGTAGACCCACAAACCCGTGTTTTGGAATTGCTGCCTTACTTCAAATGCATTGCATTTAAATGAAGATGGAAAATGCACTTAGGCAGGCATTATTATTCAATAAAGTGTGCCCTGTCATGTCTCATCATGCTTGACTAAAACTTTGTAACTCTGGCATGGCTGGCATAAAAATAGGGATATGCCAGTATCTGGATGGAGACATAACATTCTCCTCCAGGGAGTGCAGACAAGCAGTTAACTGAATTGATGCCATACCCAAACTCCACTGAGCCCTCAAAATAAGATAGACTGGGGTTTTTTAAATTTCAGAACTGCCCTCTGCACCTTAACTGTCATGATCCATATGAGGATTTACATTTTCTGCATATATAGTTTTAAATTCCTGGCACACGCTTTCTTTACAGATCAGCAAAAACATAGGCAATTTGCTTTAAAAACAATTCCTCCACACAGACAATGGTGAGGTCTATTCAAAATTAAAGTAATGAACAGACACACCTGATTCTCAAATCCATAGTCTGCTCAGGTTTAAGGACAACAGATCTGAGAACATTTCACTGTTGGACTGGAGAGAGATGTGCTCTAGAGTCTGACAAGCACCAGGCAAGCTCAGTCCCCCTGTTCCCTCAACTCTCTGCTGGGACTCACACAAACCCCATCCAGCTGACATGGATTCTACCACATGTCCATGCCCTGCTTTGCCTGCACATGGGCGCTGAGAGACTTTCTTTTCAGCAGTTCACATAAGCTTTGGGACTTTCCCTCCCTGGACTTAGCATCTTTAAGGTGAGGCCCACTGTGAACCTCATCATCATGTTTCATCATGCTTAAATTTCTCACTTGCATGATAAGAGCCACAGGACTTTAAGGCGTAATTTGTGAGGGAAAACAGGGCTGCACAGAGTCTGTAGGAATGGAAGTGGAACACCACAGAATATATGACAGGGAAATCTTCTAAAACATATACACAAATACAACAAACTTTTGGGTTCCCTGTGCATCAAGATCCATAAGGAATCTTCTGTCATGTCACATCATATTAGACATAGCAGCATATTCCCTTCTCAGCAACAGCATTGGCTAGTTTGCTGAACACTCCTGTTTGCTATCAGTAAATTTGGGAGTGAAGGACAAGGGGTTAGGTTAGGGTGATTAAAAGGTTATTTTGTTGCTGATTACTGCTATTGCTATTGTTCTCCTGTGCTATCCCTGGTGTAATTCTATTAAGTTTTTGGAGTGGCAACAGGGACAAATTTGGCTCTCTGTACTTAAATATTTTTTTGTATTTGATACTCGTGGCTGTATTTATATACAAAGCAGTATGTCTCTTATTAGAAACATAAGTCTTTGTAATGGCATAAGCACTGAATGCATAGGACATTTAGCCCATAAAAATAACAAAGGTCTGATTCAGTCTTCATTGAAATCATCTACAAAACTCTCATCATTTCTAATGGAAACAGAATCAGGCCCCAGCTTTTCTGCCCTTTAGAGGGGAGAGTTGTATTAAGAGTTAGTGGTAATATCCCTATATTGATGAGTCACTCACTTTGCAGTACATAACATTTTATGAAGTAGAGAATCACTTTCCCTAAGCAATTACAATTTTGAGACAGGATCTCAGGCACTGGCAAGTTCCTTTGTTTCACAGCCCACTCCTGTGTGATGCTACAGTCATTATTAGCATGCCTGCCTGGCTATTTGCTAGAGTAAATAATTTGTAAAATGTGGTTTCTGTGATAAGAAGAAATCCCAGCTGGGTATTAAACTGTGGGTAAAGATTTCAATGAGTGATGGTTTCCCTTAAACTTCTCATCCCATTTCTTCGGCTTCTCATTTAGGGGCCTGCCAGTAAGAACAAGAACATTCACCTCTGAAGCATATCAGCCCTCCTGAAAGGAGTCCCCTTTAACCCTTGTCCAGCGTTGGTGTGAACAAAAATAGCTTATCACATATGTAATAACACAAGCAAATGCAACTACTACCGAAATCTTAAAAAAACTTATGCATGTTACCTCAGCACTGGCAGAAATACAGACATTCCTTCCACAACATTTTGGGAAAAATTGCAGACTACTAGCAAAATCCTCACATCTCTCCAGCAAGACTGCTAAGGGTTCCTGTGAGGAAAGCTCACAGGAACAATGAGCTGTACTAAGAGCATTGCAACAACTGAAATGTATGGCTCCAACAGTGGCAAAAAGTATGTATTGATACCAATAGCTTAACTTCCATCATTGAAATAGGAAGATTTAGCTATTTAGTATGAAGGATCCAAGCCACACTTCTGCATTAAGAAAGAGAAAAGATGTAAAAATGGACAGACCATCTAACTGTGCTCGATAGGCTGCTCCGGGGGGTGGCTGTGTTCCTTTCAACTCAGAAACATTTTGCAGTACTTAAGCAAAGCTTTACCTTGGCCACTCGCTCTCTCTAGTGGCCACTGTGGAGAATAACGCGAGCCGCCAGCTGCATGTGCAAACGTCTCCAATGTTTCTGAAGGAGAAGCACTTCCAGGAAAGAAAGGCAAACTACTGGCTTTAAACGGAGAGCGTGACACACTTGATCTGCCACTCAAGCCTTTGTCATCTCACCATCACACTGGGGAGGATGTAGGAAACAGGGCTGATTCTCTTCTAACAAACCTCCTTGAACTGCTCACTGAACTGCCAGCTTCAGTTTCTGACATGGTCAAGGTGTCCTTGAGATGCACTGCTAATGCACATGCAGAGAATTACTTTTGAGGGGAGAGAGGTATGATTCACACAGGGGAGATACCAGCTCTGGTGAGCTTTACATGGTCTCTTAGAATATGGAATGGAATCTGCTCAAAGTCCAAGAGCAGCAAAAATGTTGTTCCTATAAATTAAATTGCTATAGGCTCTGCAAAAATGTAAAAGTGTCCTTTTGTTTGTTTGTTTTGAAAGGTGAAGGCAACTATTATAACCCAACACAGTCTTTTCAGACAGGCTTTCTGATGCAAAGTATCTTCCTCTTCCACTACAGCTTCTGCTCTTACAAATTTCAGATTGCCCAGAAGCAGTGTACATCTACTTCTAACATTTTCCAGGGAAGGGCTGTGTTAGCCTTTGGATTATATTTCTCAAAAACTGGAAGAGTTTTTCAATGTAAAGAAAAAAATAGAATTTATAGATTAGAATTTCACACAAGTGGAAAATAGAAGCAAATTAAATGACTTACTGCATAACAGTTATGGAAAAGACAGTGCCAAGGTTTTGGTTTTAAATAGAATACTTTCATTCCATGTAATTTTCTTAATCCGGAGATTGAAGTTACAAGGCACTACCTCAGTCTATTGTTTAATGACATTTATAACTCTATAATAGTATTTTGCTCAGGTTTAACATTTGTGACTATGGAATAGGCAATACAGTGATGTCACAAATACCAAGTTAGTAAATTATAATCCGTCACTTGGCTTTAAGTAAGTGTATTTCTTCAGACAATAGGTATGATGAATATAAGTGCAAATGAACCATGAATCTCTTCAATTATTCTTATTTAGATTCATTTTCCTATGAGTTTTCATTTAATTTCTATCACAATCTCTTAGCCATAAATCAAAGGCAGCCTGGTCTTGTAGCAACATGTCTACTTAATATAA